AAGATGAATTTTATCATAACCTACATGACCTCTTGTGTAAAGCGAGTCGGGCTGATATCGTTATTTTAGCAGGAGATATGAATGCTAGAGTAGGCCGACTGATTTAGAGTGAGGCACATCTGGGTGGTCCCGTAGCTCGGAAAACGGGGAACGATTGTTGGCTCTTTGTTCTGACCACCGCCTATTCCTCGCCAGTACGAACTTCAGACGCTCCAACTACTGGTACGCCACTTGGCGTCCGCCCTCCTCGAGTCAAATACGGACGCAGATCGACCACATCGCTATAAGCTACAAATGACAGGGTTGTATACAGGACTGCTAATCGTACTGGAGCACTCCCCTTGAATCCGACCACGCGTTAGTTTGCGCCAAGCTGTCCATAAGCTTCGGTGGGCGTTTCAAACGCTTGACACATCGACGGTTAGACTATGATCAGTAGTCTGAACCAGCACGCCTGTCTTTCAGAACGCGCTAGCTGTAACCAGCACTTGTCGCTTATCAAGAAGGCTTTGCATTCTGCTGGCTTCATTATCATCGTACAGCGAAATACGGTGAGGCGAACTTCACTGACCGCTGCCGTACTCCCAGTGCATACAAGGTTAGTGGTAAAATTTAAGGTGGACAGAGATTGGACCTATTTTGAGGGAGGGAGACGGAGGTAGACGTCTATGGTCAACACACAGAGTACGCAATCGAACTCTGCATACATACCGTTTTAAGCATTCTGACCTGATAAGAAACGACAACAAGAACGCCATTGCTGCCGGTTCGCTGTCATATCCTTCAATGTCTCCAACCAACCAATTGTGGAGTCTTTCGGACCCCAACCTGGAAGGCGAGAGACACCTACTCTACCTAATGGCTCTGTGCATGTCTTCATGCCTCGTCTCCACGTCACCTGCAGTTAGTTGTGATCTGACACGTCGTGCCGTGACACCCTGGATTTCTGCAGAATCTCTACGGCGTCTCGACGCACGCCGATCGACCGACCGGCAGCGAGCATAATGAAATACGACGAGCAACGAGTCGTTGCCCTATATCCCCATTCCTTTTCAACTGGCATAGAGAATGTTCTACAGAATGCTTTGTCCGGTCTAGCAAACGGTGGGGTCGAACTCCTCCTAGGGAATAGAGTTCTTGACTTGGAATATGCCGGTGACATTGCCTTGCTGGGTGACAACACACAGGCAGTCCAAGACGCTTTGAACCGCTTGGCGATAGAGGTATCCAGGTATGGTACGTGCTTTGCACCTTCCAAATGCAAAGTGCTGGTTCAAGACTAGCAGGAGCCTGTGCCTGCACTCACCTTATGTGCTGATCAGCTAGAAGTAGTTAAGAGCTTTAAGTACCTCGGGAGGTTGATCGCAG